TGTTTTCTAAACATCTCAACTAGTCGCTCGGCGCCATGATGTCGCTCGACTTCCCGTCTTCTCCTGGTTCTCTCTCTGACCCTCTGGCGCATCCCAGGCCCCGTTCGCACCGGCCACCGGACATCGCGCCGTGGTCATTCCCGCGGCTCCCTCCGTGGTGGAAGCCGGCGCGGTTGCAGGGCGGCAAACACTGGCGAGTTCGTCCTCCCAGCGGGACGAACTCGAAAAAGAAGGAAAGGAGAAAACCTTGAAAGTGTTTTTCGTACCTAGATTTCTTTTTTGTTGAACACTTTTCTATACTGTTCTGAAGCAAGATGCCGTTTACCATCGTTTATATACCTCCTTTGGCCGTGTGGCGTCTAGAAATGCTCTTGAAGGCACGGCAGGAGTCCCATGTCCTCATGAAGTTGTGTTTTGTCAAGTCGTCTTGCTGACTTGGAAAAAGTTGTTGGCTCCCTTCAAGAGAGGATTTGGGACGGGGATCTGTGTAGGACGCCCAAGGTGTTTTTCTTCGATGACCATGCAAATGGACAATAGTCATCAATGCTCTCTGGCTTCAACTTGTGTCCCAGAAACATATATGATTTACCCTTACCCTCCCTCCAGCAATCATTGAAATAAATTGAAAGGGAAAATAGCTACCTGGAAGATCATGGAAGACGATGTTCCACTTTAAATTAGGCGAAATACATGTGACTTCATACGGTTTCCAATGTTTCTTGGAGGGAGGGTCTACATTCTACCAAAACCCCCAAAAAGACATCAAAGACCTATAGTTTCCGGCACGGTTTCGTGTGTTTCAGGGCCGCTGGCACAGCAACCACATTCCAACAGTTGGCCCAAAACAACCAATGAACAGACCCAAAAGCGGGGTCCGACCCTGATATATTAATATCCATTTATATCCATTTCACTGGTCCGAGTATGTCCGAGTCTACCGTTTGCTCGTCCTGCAAACGCAGTGCTAACACACAGCAGTAGGCACGCACGACGGCCACCAGGAGGCCGACGCAGTAAAGCAGCACACCAGCAAGAGGAGATGCATTGCCTCATTTGAAATCGTGGAAATAGAAAATATATGAAAATATGTCTTCGAATCAAAGGAGCAATGATCAAAGGAGCAATGATGCGCCCACACTATCGTTTGGCAATCGCCACCTGTCATTTTCAAGTGGAGTAATTCTTGGAGATTTCAGGGCCTGTATGGGCACATCTCGCCAAAAACAACTTCGAATCGAAGAAAAGACCTACCAGCTACTTCCAAGGTGGAAGCAGCCTAAACCACTGTATCTAAAACACTGAAGGGGTAGTCTTAACTGAAGTGCAAAGTGTTCTTTCAAAACAGGGGACCTCAGAGCATGTGCGGGCATCTCAAATATGTTCCTCTTGACGGCACAGCTTCATCGAGGGATGCACAACTCCACATACAGCTTTGAAGTTCTGTCATGGCCTAGAGACTACAGGGCACCTTTCCTTGAGCAAGCTTCGATTCATCCACCGAACGCTACCAACCAAACATGACCAAACAAAAGGATACATCAACGCACCTTACCAAAAAGTGATGACAACGTCCCACACCCTCAACATCTGACAAGGCCCAGTTCTTTTGCAAACGAATTCCGCGTCGTTTAGCGTCGGCTTGGCGTCGTGTTTTGGGTGCGGTTTTGGCGTGGAGTCTGCTTTTTTATCCCATATTTTTGGATTTTGACCAGTGTCCCTCCAAGACCTGGGCGCACCTGAAAAAGGAAAAGCCGTGGTGAGGGCTCCAAATATATATATATATATATTTAACATATAATAGTACTAATATAATATAATATATACATATTTTTATATATTAATAAGTGCGTAAATTGTACAGTAAGTCTTTTGAACCATGCGCTGGAGGCGAATCAAAATTGGCCAGTGAAACACCTGTCCGTGCTTTCAAGTCACAGGGTAAACGAGCCACTGCCAAGGCGGCGACCAACGTGCTATAGATCTCTGTGCAAATGGTACACACTGCATAGGTCGTGAACCGCGGGATGGCCTGGGAGGAACCGCTTCTCAACTCAAAGAGTCTGCGCAGTGTCCTAAGGTCCAAACAATTGAAGCTAAACAACATGTCCAACTGGGGGAGACCGTGGAACCCACTTCACCCATGACTGAGAGAGGTTGGCGTCCCGGCTCCGGATTTGAGAATTTACGTCAAAAGTGGTAAAGACGGTTCTAATGCAGTTACGCAAATGCAAAAGACCAACTATTTATGGTTTCTTCTTGATGTTTTCTGGGGAAACGGGAACATAAGGACTTCTACTCTGCAAAGCCACAGGAGTTAAACATGTGGCCTCTTGCGGGTTCAACATGTCAGAACCAGGCCTGCCAGGGCCCCCAATATGCAATGCTCTTTGGCACAGCGCTCGTTGAGGACTTGGGTCGCCGAGATGTGCAAGTGACCCAGGCAAACGGAAGAATGCACAGCAAAAGCTCGGGCAAACATTGATGTGCCGATCCTCAGGATGACAAAACCACGAGATTGCCAGTGGTTTCTGTGGTTGAACACTCTACAGAGTCCAAAACTGGTCTCCCTAGTTGAAGACCTATCCACACGGACTGTCTCTGCAAGAGGAAGAAAAAAGTCTTGCAGAGGGATGAGACATAGTGACATAGTGGTCATGCATCTACGTCACCAAGGGCAAAACATTGTGGACCTCAACGCTCTTGGGAAAAAGTCCAAAGTGCTCACAGTTCAAAAGTTGAACAATGAGCAAAAAATAAGACATCACGGTCCAAATTAAAACCAACAGGACCTACAACACAATAGTTCAAAGATATTCACAGCACTGCAGCTGTGTTGGGTGAAACCCATTTCAGACCAGTGTCTCAAGCCAACGACCAAAAGGCCCCGGCAAACCACATACGACACACGAAGCAGCACTGCCAAACATGCAATGACCAAAAAGGCCCCATGCAAGGCATAAGCTGATGCGTAGTGCCGTGGCCGGCACGGCCCCGCCTCGGAGTCTTTCTTTCACGTCCCGAGAGTTAGGCCGTTGGAAGAAGTCACATGGCCGATGGCCGTGGGGGCCAATAGGATCTGAATAGGATCTGAATACACAACTTTGGGCGTCATCTATACTTAGTTTAGTGAATTATCCCGGTTCCCATCTTTATCGAATCTATCTATCTCACAGAATCACCGAATGCCCCACCTTGGGTGCCGGCTCTGGAGCCTCCTCAACCAAAGCACCACAAGCTGCGAAGGCTGCATCCAAGGCCGGGCTGGTGGGACTTGCCGCCAATTCCGCCAGGGTGAGCTCCGCGGTCCCTGTGCCAGCCGCCACATTGGCCACGCTGGCAGCGGCACGCAGGGCACACTCGTTCGCGGCATTGGCAAAGCCTTGAGGTCGGGCCGTGGGGGTGGGCGGTGCTGGCGGCACAGGTTTTGGCTTTGGGGGTGCGGAGGGGCTAGCACAGCCGTCCAGTTCAGCATGGATTTGGTTCTGCACCGTGATGGCATCCACCAAAAGCTTCCGCCGTTGTCGCGCTACGAGGGATGGGAGCAAACGCCAATCAAAGGCGATGCAAGCCAAGCTGGCGACGACCAGCAGTGAGACACCTGTGGTAATGAGGAGCCCGACACCGAAGCCTTTCCTTGGCGCTTGCAGGTTTTTCACGTTCTTAGTTCTTCATAGTGTGACTGACCTCTACAAAAATGCAACCTCCGATTAATTAAACCTCTTTCATCCTTTGGAAGAATGATATAGTGTTATATATACATATACATATATATATATATATATTTGTATATATGCATCCCGAGTATTCCCGAGTTATCCCCTTAACAACCCCTCAACGTGTCTTTAAACATCTAATGCTGCATTCGGAGCTTCACGCAGTTGCTCGGATCCCACTGAGGCAGCTCGCAAGTGACTCTGGTTGAGGAAATGTCCACACTCACATTTCGGGTACCCAAAGCGGTGGCGTTCTGTGCGTAGTACTGCACGGCAGCCTCACAGTCCATACCTGGGAGAGAGCTTGGAGTCCACGCAGCATGCGTGCGTGTGTGTTGGTGCCGAAGGTGGAAAATCCATGGCCGAAGGATTTGGTGTTCGTCTCCCCCCCCAGAAAAAGAATCACCATTATACAATTGGATTCACTACCACTACTGCTAAGAAGTTGTGAAAATGTGTGAGAATGCAGCACAGGAGGCAGGAGGCCAACTTCAGGGGAAATTCTACCGGGATTGCTACAACTTAGGTGCTAACTTGCACCCCACCCGACACCTTCCCGAATTTCCCTCGTCTCAGTGACACAGCTCCAAGGCTGCGTCGCAATTGCCTTGGCTGGGGCCTGCTCCATCGGGCCCGCCACAACCTCCATCGGCCACCAGCTGGTCCCAAGCCTTCTGCGCCCGGCAGCACGGGCGTGCGATGGGATCATAGGTCAACTGTGCCACCTTGGAATGTCACAAGAAACCAGGTCAACCTGTCGTTTCTGGGTTTAGGCAGAGTGGTGCCATCTGCTTTTCAAAGTGAGAAGAAGAAACGGGAGTGCCCAGCAATGCCCAATGCCCAGCTGAGGAGCATCTGTGCAGTTCAGAACTGCCGATGACGACAGCGGCAAGACCAGCGCAAGACTCCACTGCCATGCAGGCATGCTGTGAGCCTAAAGACTCCACGCTAATAAGTGTCCAGTCCAATGGAGATGTAAACACTTACAATGGGGTATTGGTTCGTCCCAGTCCAACACCCAAAAGCTCAAGCAAAGAAACGGATACAATATGGTAATACAATATGGACGGATTGTGCCCCTCTTTGTGTCCAAAAGGCTCAGTTTTGACTTTCGGAAGGGCAAGGACCAGCATTTTGATGCCAAAGTCATGGAGGCTTCAGGTTGAGCATTAAAGTTAAGCCACATGAGGTTATTTAAATTATCTACAAGAAATGTGGGCCTTGATGAAGGTTCCGCCCCTTCTGCAGCCTCTACAGCGGTGGGGCATGCATCCCTCCAAGTCCCTCCTGTAGGTGTGGCTCAAACGATGGTACACGGCTGCATCCTGGCGGAGCGCGACAGCTTCCCACCGCCGATTTGAAGCTTACGGTAACCGACATTAGACATTCCTCAACGACTTGGGAACGACTTTGGAGTCAACGACGAAAGCACCAACGCATTCAAAGAGTTCCAGAAATCCACATCACTCCATATCGCCGGTCAGTGAAAGCTGTTTTGGGGCGACAAGTCCCGTCCACGGGATTAGTTTGGGACCTCGAGGTGGCTCTCTGGAAGCAACATGTGTCCAGATCTGACTGTTTGCATCAGGAGTCCAAATCCACTAAGCAAACTGCATGTGGTCTCAACTCTCCAGAACGAAGGAATGAACTGTTTGCTGGAACGGTTCTGAGGTTTTAGGAGCTTTGCTCACGAGAACCAGGGCCAGTCAACATAGTGTCTGTCTATATTAAATAACAGTGCTTGGTGCTTGTTGGAGTGTTCCCTGGTGCCGCAGGCGGCGCTCCTGGCTGATTTGGTTCATGAGGCTCTGGTCCACTCGCTGCTCTTCTGCCAGCACGTCATCATCTTTGCGAGCAGCATCAAAGTCCTCGCGGCAGCGGACGTGCAGCCGGTGCTGCCGGTCCACGCGCGACTCTGAGCGATCAGGCATACGTATGGTCCGGTCGACATGGTTGCTCGACAACATAAAACTACTACTGTATGCGATCTTTGAAGGAACTGAAAGCACCAAGTTCTGTACCGACAAATGTGAGATACTGGGGCCGTCTTTTGCGAAACAACACGGGGTCCGGGACATGGTTCACATCAAACAGCGAGAGAAAGGGATAGAAATCCCCGGCTGGCATTTATCGACTATATATACATATTTTAGAGATGGCACTACGTAATTTAGTTTCCATATGTTTTCATGGTATATTACAAAATCAGGAATTGACCAGGTGTGGCCATACAGATCTCGATAGACAAGAATTATGCAAGAACAACACTCACCCAAAGTTGCATCTCACACATTAGAGGGCCGACTTTCGTCGTAAACCAACATCATAAACCCAAAGCGACACTTCTTGTTGCTATATACAGTATACGCGTTTTGGGTTGATACGGGGCATGCCGGCCCACAATGTGTTCATAATCTGCTTCCTTGCATGTTCCATGAGGGTATCAAGGGGAGCGTGTTCACAGGTTTTGAGAAGCTGCTCCTGGCAGCGCCCAGGCACAGCACTCCGGCTTCGAGCATCCTGCAAAACGATGCGGGACGACGCGTTCCGACGGCGAACAGGATCTTGCAGGTTCCTGTTTAAAAGGGGAGATAACTCAGATGACCATCACCATGGACAAGCACAAAGGCCGTTGGACCAAGAGTGTATGTGCATGTAAGAAGCGGATACAGTATCTGGATCATCGCGAATGAGGGGAACACCATATGTTTCATAATAGTCATCACACAAATACTGTAATGCAAAGAACAATGCAAAAAATACAACAAAATAGGGCACACAGTTCACAATGAGCAGGAACACTAGGTTGCTGCCTGACACCAAGAAGCCTCGCAAGAGAAGAAAGCCCTAAACAGGAGCACTCCTTCAATAAACATATATAAACCTTTAGAAGCCTTCAACCGTTTTCACGTAAAATGGAACTTGTGCTCGTGTGTACTTCAATGTTGTTGGCATCCACTTTCGAAGACAAGAGTATCCACTGCCAAGCCATACTCTGTAAGATAAAAATCCACGAACACGTACGAATGATTCGTGTTCCTGCTCTAGAGCAAATATTAAAAAGCAGTCCGCAAGACCTCGTTTGCTTTTTGTGCTGGGGTTTCCCGAGGGTATTTGCGCTCCATTTGTTCCTGTTGTTTTTGTTTCCTATTTTTTCCTATTGTTCCCTATTTGTTTCGAGGAAAATAGGAAAAGCACAAAATCAAAACACAAATAGCGCAAACCCTTTTTTGCTAGGACACAAAAATAGGGAGAAAATGGGAGACATATTCAATGACAGCCCTTCTATGACCGCTCTTCACTTGCCATCTTACTGAGATGACCTGACATTCCTTCCTTGTTGCTTTCCCCTGGCTGGCTAGTACTTACTTAACTAAACATATCCTGGTCTGTTCTCAATGTGGCTCTTTGACAAATGTTATGTTCCCGTTCTTCCTCTGGAAGTGCTGGTTTCTATTGCAAACTGTCCAGTCCGCTTGCGTGTTTGTATGACTGTCCTATTTTAATTCCTTGTTTATCTTTTTTTTGGTGTATTGTGTGTATTTTATGTGTATTGTTTTTGTTCCGTTCCTTAAACAATTTCCTTTGTAGACTTTGCTTCTTAGGCAGTTCACAACCATAATACTGTGCAACTAAGGGCCATTGGTGGCATGCATTCTCGCTTCATTTCCTGAGATTTCACGCACAAGGACATGCTTCATGATTCTATAATGGAATTCCATCTGCCATTTTGATCGTAATTGTGGCAGAATGCTGTCTATCAACAAGCGCTACAACATCACGAATGGAACATGCATGTGTGAATTGTTGGTCCCCTTATCAATGCTCAAAACGGAGTACTGTAACTGTAGTATTTGCAACCACGACACTTGTAAGACGGCCAGCCTGGTAGATGAGGTTTGATGCCAGCATCACACACATCCTGTGAGCGATCAACAGGGCCGTTGGCAAAAAGCATTCGTCCGACCCGGTGACTGGCCACTAGGGGTCATTTGCTGGGCGTTCTATAGAGAAATGGTGTCTTATAGAATGGGTGGGGAGGAGTAAAATATCTATAGAACGCCAAGCCACATGCAGCTCTAATGAAAGATCATCTGACGGATGGCCAGGCGCAGCTTCCATAAATGATAAAACCAAATGCAATAGCCAAAATATTAGGTCTTTAAACAATGTTAAACGTAAAACACAAATCAATGAGACCAAATAGCGGTCTCCTTTCCCAGCATTACCCTATATCTCGGTGTCTTCTCCCGGAGGGACACACAAGGGGACACAAGAAGAGGGAGGGTGGAGATCCGCCCTGCGGCATTGTCTCCCCATTGGGAATGTGTCACCGTGTCACTTATGTGTAAGTCGTCTTGTCTTTCGAGTTTCTCCCTGGTTCTCCTCTTCACCACTTCACAAACTGGATTGAACAGGCACAAAGTTTTTCAATTGGACAGGACAGGCCAATCCCACAAAGACCGGTGCTGCGGCCACACATGTCAACACAAAATTAATCCATGAGTCGAGATGCTTTGCCAGATCCACATGCTCTCACGGCATTAAGTCGAAAACATGCCAAACAAAATCTCTAGTACCAAAAATGTTACAGTGCCCTAGTCCTCTGTGAAATGCATCTCAAGGGTTCACAGGGCATGCCAAGAAAGGCCAACCAGCACCAAAAAAAAACCTCCTTATAGAATGGTGTCCAAGGTTCTCCCAAAACAGTAAACCATACCCTATCTTTAGAGTCAAGTGTCAAATGACTGGCAGCCAGTGTAGGATGCCCAATACACTCTCTGTCTATGTGGTCCCAAAGTCCGGGAAGGAATGGGGGAGTCTACTGAGATTGCCGACCAACGACATGGAGACAAACGGGCCTCACATTGCTCCACCATAACGATGACAGCAATAGGTATTGAGTCTTCCCACTAGACCGCTCAAATCATGGGAAGGTGAACTGCCGCAGAAAACAACTCATGGCCAACCCACAGCTCCAGATTGACCTCGCACAAAAGTCTCTGCATACAGTTTTGAAATGTGTTGAAGAGATAGTTCTGAGTTACAAACACTGAACGGCGAATCTCAAATGCTCTCCCTCGCATGGCTCGAGAGCCAGTGGACTAACTGGGTGGATGGGATGCCTTAGGGCTGCCGCTAACTGGGTGGATGGGATGCCTTAGGGCTGCCGCTTTAGGGAGACGTGTTACGTCACAGTCCATATTACATTGGAGATGCAACCGAGGGTTGCAAAACCAATTGTGCTCTGCATCTATAGGGATATGGGGTGCTTCTCTGCGAGCATTAGGATTGCAATGGGCAGCAGTTTTCCTCTGCGTGCATGATGTCGTACTGTGTCTTTCGCCCTTAGACATGACTGCTTAGCGCGCGTAGCGGTGACGCGAAAAACCGAAAACTGCATTGGCAACGCTTGCAGCTTCCGATTTATTTTTTGGGTTGATAAAATAAAGTACAAGTATGATAAGATGGCCCGCGAAGACCTGTGTGGTTGAGAAAACCCTGCGCGGTCGAAGAAACCCCGATCATACAGCATATTTAATGTACCTCGCAAGTCCTGTGGAGCGTCCCCGACTAGTAACAAGGGCATGGCTACTCGTAGCAAGTGCATGGCTACTAGTAGCTTCTTGCTACTAGCAAGATGTAGCAAGATGTAGCAAGAAACTACTAGTAGTGTCTAAGGCCTAATCCCAAATTGATTCACTTGTCGGGCCTCACCGGCTCGCTTTTTTTCGGCTCAGGCCGCGGCATGATGGAGCCGTACATCGGAATGGCCTCGGAGAACCGAGTTCTACCCAAGGTTAAGCGGCAAACTGTGGATGTCTTGGATTGTTTGGGGACCCTGCTCCGAGATGCAAACTCATCCTCAAAATTCCCATGAGATGTGCTAGTGTCGAGGCGACTAGAAACTTGGGGGTGCCTTCAAAAGCGTCATACAAACGTGTTGTCATGAGTAAAGCAAACAAAATATTCCAACTGCCGTGTCTCGGCTAGTCTTTCATGCACTATCCGAGGAGAACAGGCAAGAACGGCGCCATGGCCAGGAGTCCTGATGTTTCTTTCATGATGTTTGCTTCTCCTGTTCCGCTGGAAGACAGCTCTCTGATCAGCTCAAAACTATTCTAAACACTTAGTACAGAAACAGCTTTAATTACGGCTATAGCGGCCAGACATGTATAAACACTTCGAGCGACGCACCTCGTTCATCCTCATTCGTCGTTCCCGAAGTTGTGGGATTGTGAAAGGGAAAACGCCCAGATCGTTCTATCGAGCGACTTCGGGATTTCGGCTCGTCACTCCAGGCAAAGCGGGGCACATTGGCTGACCCCACCTGCGATCCCAGTAACACGTCAATGACATCATGGAACCTCCCAGGTCGGTCCTCGACTTAGACTTGGGGAATGATAGGTCAAAGGTCTTCTGGTTTTGACCTACAGCTATATCCATCATTTTCACCCACTGACTGTGTTGGGCCTACATTCATTCTCTCTGTTCATGTCCGTCTTCCGATGAAGTCTCGCCCAGGCGCTTCCGGAGCAGTGAAATGCCCCAGTAAGGAGGTGGGAGGTGAAGACCTGGCCGAAACCCGGCAGGGGAAAACGGGGGGACGCACCGCAGCAAGACTTGGCTCAGACTTGCGAACAGAAGACAATGGAAGTTGAGATGCCAGATGCCAAACAACAACAACAACAACAACAACCACAACAACAACCACAACAACCACAACAACCACAACAACGACGACGACAACAGCAACAGCAACAGCAACAACAACAACAACCACAACGACAACGACAACAGCAACAGCAACAACAACAACAAGAACAAGGTACTAACAAAAACTGCAGCCCCGTCAGCACACATCTTCTTATATACTTTGTCTCTACCCCCTCCTAGAAACATTAACTGCAGCCCAGCGATACTAGTATTTCTGGTGTTAGTATTGGTAGGTAGTAGTGGTGGTAGTAGTACAGTAGTAGTGGTATAATATGGTGGTAAGTAGTCGAGTAGGACTCTGACTACTACCACCAACCTACTACTACTACTACTACTACTCCTCCTCCTCCTACTCCTACTCCTATTCCTACTCCTACCACTACGACGGCGACGGCGACGGCGACGGCCACCACGGCCACACTACCACTACTACGACAACGACGACCACCACCACCACCATCACCACCACCACTGTGACCACTATCTATCGATCTATCTATCTAACTAATCTATCCGAATCTTTCTTTCTGTTCTTTCTTGTTTTTTGTCTTTCTTGTCTATCTATCTGGAACCACCACCACGGCCTAGAAATAAAACTGGGGCCATGCTGTTGTTTTTTCATCCCCCCAGAGGAGAAAAAAAACACCAAAAACACGCATTAAAAAATCAGCCAACGCAAATTTCAGTGAAACAAGTCCAACGAGTCCAGCTACTTACGAAACCAACATTCCCTCATGCAAGCCTTCAGCCGTATCCCTGACCTTGTTCCCTTAAAGTTCCAGAGTTACAACATGTGACGACTATGGTGGGGCGGCTGCTTTGGTTTCTACAAACATTGCCACCACCACCACCACCACCAACAACAACAACAAGAAGCACAACGACCACGACCACAACAACAGCAGCACCAGCAACAACGACAACAACCACAAAAACCACCACCACGATGACGACAACAACAACAACAACAGCAACAGCAAACACAAAAGGATAATCCCTTCTATTGACATCTATTGACAACCAATTTGCAACCTGCGGTCTTGTGCACAGCACGTTTTGGGGATTGGAGAATGATCTTGTGCGCGGCCAAACCACCCAAATCACTCTTCCGCTCTTTGAGATCGGCTTCAGCCGATGGGTCCTGACCAGCTTGAGATCTTGAAGTCTCCGAGGTCTCCCAGGTCTCCCATGGTTTGTCTTCGGTCTCCCAGCCATGTGGCGTTTAGAGTGCGTTCCCATGGTTTCTTTCATCAGCTGGGCATGAGCTGAGCTCAAGCTGAGCTCCAAACATCATCATGACAATCACCCCTGGGAGACCATAGACCTTGCAGCTTGGGCATCGGGTCACGGAATCTGTGGGTGTGCCACCGATTCAGCTCGATTACTCAATGGCTGTGGCGCATCAGCGGGAAAAGGTGTGGTTGGAACGTGGATGACTTGAACGAAGAAGGCGCTCGCAAACGAAAACCCCAGTCACACTCGTCGATCCAAATCGCTCAAATCGCTGGGATTTAAGACCTCGTTGGTTCTGAAAAAACATTGATGTCACGTCTCACCGAGCCTTTCTAAACATGGACATTAAAGAGGGAGGTGATCAATCCTGGTATCGTCGAGTTTTTTGAGGCGGCCCCTCTTGTTCTAGAGCGAAATAGTATGTTCATATATATATATATAACATCTGACCAAATGATCTAAATAGAGCAACGCACCCTAGTTTAGTTTCCCGCAGTTCAGCTGCGTATGTTCGGATTTGGTTGATCAACATGTTCTCAGTTCCAAGCCGTCAAAAACAGCCATGGGGGATCAAACAGGCCCCAACAGGCAGGTCGGTGGGGTGGTTCAAACGGCCATTCCGAATGGGTCAGAGGCTCATTCCCAAGAGGCTTCGCTGGTGGATCACGGGGTGGATGCGAAGAAGGGTGTGAGCGTACTCTTCGTTTGGAAGGCGTGCGGCTGCTTGATGCGAAGCGATGTGTCGTCGTGTTTCGGTCCAGCATCCAATGCAGATCCAATGCAGAACCGCAGAACCACCGGTGATGCACCCGCAGGCCAAGTGGCTGGATTCACCACCGACATCACCTAGGGCATAAAGAATCCACAGGTGGGCTTGGTTTCATAAATTCCACAAGTTTCCCCAGTAGCTGCAGATTCTGCATCTCAGGGACCCTCATTAAACCAATCACCATGGGTCATTGAACCGTGACAGACTCAGTGTGGGATATCCTACCTGATATATGATATTCTTGTCTTTGCGTGAGTAGTGATGCTATATAACTTTATTTCATATCATGTAAACGGACAGCATACTGATATATTATAAATATAATTGATATATATATATATATTAAGAGGTCACGAGTTTTCTTCAGCACCAGTCTGGCTGCAAAATACAAGGAGTTGGCTCAAGACCGTCCAATGCCGAGAGCTCAGAGATGATTCCCCAAATCCCAGCCACGTCAAAAAGGCTTCAAAACACTAAACACATCCTGGCCTCCAACTTATCTGGCCCACATGCCACCACACTAAAGACCAAGTGGTTTTGTTCCGTGTGTTTTTGTTGGTTTCCATCTGGAACAGCCAACGGTCTCTGCGCCATGCATCACAGTTGCAATGCTGCCCACCTGGGCTGCTGTTTGATTTCCCGTCATATTCAGGATGTAAATTGCGGACCTCGGCCGGGAGACCGACACTCGATCGTTCCAGCATCTTCAGCGCTTTGTTGAACAAAGTGATGCAGTATCTCCCCAAAAGTCTCCCCCTCTTGGGGAAAAAGTGATTTTCCTTGAAGAGTGACCCACGGTTTGGTTCACCACCTTCCAGTGATGTCAAAACCAAATCCATCATGATCCATCCGAGCTGCGTGGGGATCGTGCCCAGCAGGAGGTTGGTGATCGGAAGGACCTCGCCCGGGCCGATGGTTGGGCGAAACGAAACGACGCACCGGTGCCAGGACCATCCCTAGGGCTACCTTCTGAGAAGGTAGGTTCAGAGGGTTCAAATGCCTTCTGAGGTACTTGGAGCCGTTCTTGGGGCCGCATAGCTGTGGGTGTGAAGTCGGTCGTTAGCTAGGTGGACTGGTCGGGCGAACATGGTGGGTCAAGAACCGATCCCCACATCTGGCAGTTTTGTTGGGGTCTTGGAGTCTTAAGAAGCTTGCATGACTTCTGTGATGTTTTCTCCAGTATATGTGAGGTAAAGCAGCCACTGAGGATGGTCTACACAGTCTACACTCGCTGGAATAGTCATGGAAGTGAATGCCCCCCTTGGATGACTTGGATGACCATTGTCCTCTACAAAGAGGTGGTCTTCCACTTGCATGTTCCATAACTATTCTAGGCAGTGTATTCATGGCGGGATGGAGCTCAACGTCGCCTGGTCTGGGACTACACCAACGAAAAAGCTAAACAGCCGGTAGGTGCACCGTTGTCTCCTTCACATCCCAACCTTTTGCGCCTGATCGCAAGGTGTTCGATGACATCCATGTGGAGGCTTTCTGGATGTGGTCAATGGACTGGTTTAGTGGAACGTCTATAGGAAGCCACCATGTTTTTCAGCACCAAAACTATGGGTTTCCGGTAGTTCTTCGCTTCAACCGATTCCGGGATGTGAAATTGAATCTCCCCATGAGGTCTGTGAGGGTAGGGGAGAAAGGTGAGTTGACAAAATTACCTCAGCAGTCACACTGCTGATGGTCATGTTTCAATTTCAATGTTTCGTAAATGAGCTTCTTGATGAGGTCTCGAGCCATTTCTCCTTCAAAAGGACTGGAACTCCAACCTTTCAAGTTTCAAGGGCTAAAAAGTCAAAGGCTTGGATATAGCCCGAGGCTGGACCTCGTGCTGCATAGGGGTATATAAATTACATAAAACAATGATCGCGTCGCTCAATTAAGGTTCTCCCGCGTGATTTTTTCATGGACTTTCCGCCAGTGGCGTGGGGTGCTCACCTGTCATGAAAACCGTCAGAGAGGGAGGGTGGGCTGGATGGGCTGTCTCGAGGCGCCTTGACTGCGAACTCCACCTGAGTAAACAGCCTCGGACCGCATGGAAGAAAGTCCAAATGGGAGCCATGAGCCATGCAACACCTGCTTTAGCCTAAGCCCCGAAGTTGTTTTCAAACGGTAGTTCCTAAGCCATACAATCACAGTGCTGTACGGTACAAAGTCGTATAAATGGCTGATTCGGGGGGGGTCATCCTGTACTCTGCAGGAGGGAAAGTCAATGTGCCAACCTGGCTGGTCAAAACTCCACATGACGAATGTGTTGAAGCGCCCGGAATTGAACGAATCAACACCTCACAAAGGCGCTGCGTCGTGTTTGTGCGTCCAGCGGCAGGGAGAAGTTATAGGCCATCAAGAGCAAGCTCAGCGGATAGATGAAGGCCTCTCGGACTTTCAATTGGAAAGTTCTGGGGAACAGGACCAAGTCATCTAGCTCAACCCTGCAAAGGGAGGAGGATGAGGACAAGCAAGTTACCCACATTTGAGGGCCAATCCATTCGCTTACCTTCCGCCAGAATCTTGCCAACTTACTCCTGAGGTGTGTCAGGACCACAGGAATAATCTATGGTTTGATGCAGAAAGATTCCCACCACACCCCCAGAAGATCCAAGGGATTTGAACACCCAAGCAAGCTCGGTCCTCCAAGCTCATGGACAAACAAGCTCTTGATTCAAGATGTGTTGATGTGTTGCCAAAACGGCAAAAAGGGGCGAAGCTGTCAATGAAAATGGTTCTGTCCTTTGGTCAACGGTCCCTCCCGGCCTTGGGGGTTGAATAGTTACTTAGCCATTCTCCGCAATCTTTTGGTGGCGTGCATAATGGGGGTCATTCAACAACAAGTTGGGCCACCCTAAACATTTGGAATCTTTCTGGGCAGTTTTAAGAGATGAACGCACGGCACAGTAAGAAGCAACAGTAAAGAGATCGTTGGACTTTCTATGAAAACCAACACAGTATATATGTGTATACACATACGAGAAACATGACAATATAACCATCTTACTGATGGCGGAGAACTGAAGGCACACCTCCTCCATAGCTTTCACTCGGCCAACATGTGGTTTCGACAACATGATACAAGCAACCCTTGGCAGCCAAGGCACAAAAAGAAACCACAATATATAGAAACACTGAACTCACTGAACTGTCACAGGACGATCGAGAGGCCACAAAATGAACATTATCTATGGACCATGGAAAATACAGATGCACCCAAACCTCACGCCCTGGATGGCTGCAAAATAAATGACAATCACTGCCTCCAAAACAATCAGTGTAAGTCCACTGCCATTGAGTTTCTCTCCTCCACCCCAAGTGATCGCCTCAGAGCCAAGTGAACGGCGCATCGGCTCCCAAAGACGACGTTTCCAGAAACGAGTTGACGGAAACAGTCCGGTGGGGTCCCCCAACATGGTGTTTGCAAATTGTATTATATCCATGTTTATCCACCTTTCATCCACTTTTCCTGGGTAGGACATCCTGATATTTTCCAGTTTGGGGTCCACCATGGCCCACCTGAAACCTGAAAATTGTCAGGCCCGTTCCCTGAGAAATTCCAAGCAGCAATGACCAGGATCAAAGAGTTCGAGACGTTGACCTCGAAAGCAGCGACAGGTCTCCAAACTCCTAGTCAAGATCCGCACCTTGAATTGAATTCGGTCAACATGTAAAATGCCTCACTGTCACGATTCCAGGCCGCTAGTTCCAAAGAAAAACAGATCGATTCCTTCACCTTCGAAGGACCGGCAGAGCGGTTTGAGCTCAAAGGACCGGCTCTTTTCAATGGACCACCCTGGCACTACCACCAGCCGCTCCAACCGTAGACGCCGTAGACCATGCACTGGGCGAAGCTTGCGGATGCGTCCGGTGACAAGCGGTCCAGGCTCCAGCTTCTCCGGTCCCATCGGCTTCTCTCGTGTCGTTGGATCATCTGGCCTTCCGATCTGCGATCCAAACATCTTGCGTAGATCAGTAGATCTTTCATGATCTCCACACACCTGGCCTCCGATGTGCCTGGTCCTTTCCATACAATTGCGGATGCTACAGATGCCGCATGTTCCCTTCTGTTCCCATCTGTTCCCCATCTTCATCCCGGTTCATCAAAGTAGGCCAACAGCGCTTCATACGCGGAGCGGATCTCCATGAAGTGTTGCCTGTTCGATCGCCGCCCGAACGACGTCTGCAGATCTGAACATTGACACGCGCCACACACACACACACCGAAACAAACGAGCTGCGCGAAGCGTGTAAGA